GGGGGGGGGCGGACACCAGGCAGGGCGTCACGGCGACGGCGGCGCCTAGGGCACCGGGAAGAACACCTCCCGCGGCTGGAGGGCCAGGATCCCGGCCAGCACGGAAGCCGCCTTCAGCATGGCCTCGTGGAATTCGTCCTCCGGCGAGGAGAGGGCCGTCACGGCGCCGCCGGCCCCGAGCCACAGGCGATCGGCCGGGCCCGGGGCGCCGGCAGCCCGGGTCTCCGAGGGACCGCCCTCGGCGGCCATCACCACCGCCGACCGGATGACCACCGACAGGTCCACCGGCTCCACGGCCCCCGGCTCGGCTGTCCGCAGGCCCAGGTACCCGATGGCCCCGGAGTAGATGCCCCGCGGCTGGCGGCCCTCCAGCGGCCGCGCCGCCCCCGGCACTCGGCCCGACAGGTACTCCACTGCCCGGCGCTTGGGGGCCCCGGTCATGGACCCGGGCGGCGAGCAGCTCCGCACCGCGTCCAGCGCCCGGCCCGAGGCCACTTGCGCGCCGATGACCGACAGAAGCTGGTGCACGTGCGCCGTCTGGTCCACACGCAGCCAGCTCCCCTCGCCCGGGGCCACATCCGCCGCCGCCGCCGCCGCCGCCGCCGCCGCCGCCGCCGCCACGGGGGCGCATGGCGAGGCCACGGGCGGCGGCCCGGGCCGGCTGCCCAACATCCGAACCGACCCGGGCCGGCTGATCGGAGCCAGGTCCCCGCGCACCAGGTCCGCGATGATGACATTCTCCGCGCGATCCTTCACCGACGCCAGGAGCCCGGTGGCCAGGGCCCGGTCTTCGGCCGGGGTGCGTCCGCGCGGGGCCGTCCCCTTGATCGGCCGGCATACCACCTGCCCGGCCGGGTCCACTTGCAGGAAGCGCTCCGGCGAGAAGGACAGCACCGCAACCCCGGGATCCAGGCGCAACAGCGACCCGTACGTCGAGCCGGAGACGGCACGCAGTTGCCGATACGCCGCGGCCAGGCGATCCCGGCCGTCCGGCCCGGGCCCCAGCAGCCGGGCCCCGGTCAGGCCCAGCTGCGTGGTCGCGCAAATCTGGTACACCTCCCCGGTGGCGATGAGGTCCTGGATGAAGCGCACATCGGCCAGGTACTCGGCCCGGGATCGGGCCAGCTCCAGGACGGCCGCCGGCCGCGGCTCGGCCCCGGCCACCGGCAGCGCCAGGGTCCGCGCGTCGGCCGGCACCTGCGCCATCAGCCCGGCGAGGTCGCGCGCGAGCAGGCGATCCGCCGCCAGGGCAGCCGTCCCAAGCCGCCGGCCGGCCTGCGCCTCGAAGTCGCCCGCCACCCGCGGGCTTCCACCATCGCCGCCGCCGCCGCCGCCGCCGCCGCCGCCAAGCATGCCGGCCACCATGTCCAGCCAGCAGGCCCGGCCAGCCGGCTCGGCGGGCCCACACACCTCGGGCACCAGCTCCACAATGTAGATGCTGCGATCCACATGGTCGAAGGCCAGGAACCGGTCGACGAAGACCAGGTCCCCGTCCGGCAGGGCCGGCGACACCGGGAGACAGTGCCCGGTCCCCGGGTCCGGGCCCGCCGCCGCCGGCAGCCCGACCACCGAGTTGCCCAGCTCGTAGCCCAGGTACCCAAGTAGGCCACCGACAAAGTTGAAGGGCAGCGGGCTGGCCGCGGTGCGGGACGCTTGGCCAGCCGGCTGGCCATGCTCCAGGAAGGAGGACACCCGCACCCGGTCCAGGTGGGCCCCGAGCCAGGCGTACAAGTCCCACCCGGCCGGCAGGGCCAGCAGCCGATCGGCACCCTGGGCGCCGGTGGCCCGGGCCTGGCGCAGTTGCGAAGGGCACAGCAGACGCTCCTCCACCAGCGGGCCCCGGAGGCCGGTCACCGCCACATGGCCATCCGCCAGGCGGAAGGACACCCGGTGGCTCAGGGGACCTGCATGTAGGGCCGACGTGGCGGACGCCATGAAGGAAAAGCGCCCGAGGGCCGGGGGCTGGAACTGTTTCGAGCGCCGGGTGCACCGCGGGTCAGTCGTGGCAGGCAGGCAGGCAGGCAGGCAGGCAGGCAGGCAGGCAGGCAGGTGGCGCGCAAGAGTGCCCGGCGGCCGGGACCGAGGGCTGCCCGGGCGCAGAGGGGCAAAGGGGAGGGGGGAGCGAGGGAGCCATGGCGCGCACCATGTTCGAATCCAGCCACACGGCTGACGGCGCATCGGCGTACAGCAGGTCGAACACCAGCTCGCTGGTCAGGCAGGCCGGGCTGTCGACGCCCGGGCGCAGGCGCAGCCACCGGCACTGCAGGTCCAGCGGGGATGAAGCCGGGGCCGGGGCCGGGGCCGGGGCTGCGACCAGCGCGTCCAGTCGACAGAAGGCCAGCGACGTGCGCTCACGCTGCCGCGCGGGCAGGTACAGCCTCAGAAAGTTGAGGATCATGTCGGCGCCGCCGGTTGTGCCAACCGACTGGTGCCACACGCATGCGGGTGGGGTTCGGACGGGCGGACGGGTGAGCGGATGCCCGGGCGGACAGGCAGGCCAGCAGGCGAACAGGCCGGCGCCCGTGCGTTCGGATCGCGATTCGTCGGCACGACCGGGGTCAGGGCGCGAGGAGGGAGGAGGAGGAGGAGGAGAAGAAGAAGAGGACATACGTCAGGCTGGAACTGCACGCCGAAGAGGGGGACCGCATGGTGCTTGACCGCGGCCACCCGGTCCAGAGGGGCCCGGTAAACACCCACCGCGCGGAGAGGGTGCCCGGCGGCCGGGACATCCACGAAGTACGACTGGTAGGTCATGACCGTGACCGGGGAGGGGGCGGCATCCGGCCCGGTGACATTGCCACCAAAGCCGCCACCCGGGCCATCGGCCCAGGGAGGCGGATTGACAAAGTCCGCCGAGCCTCGCCGGCCGGCCGGCAGGAAGACCCCGGCTCCCGGGTCGCCGGGGTCCAGGCGCCCCGGGCCGAAGGCCACCTCGGCCGTGAGACCGTGCATCGGCGGCGCGTCATTCCGCAACGGCAGCCCATACTGGTGAGCAAGATGGTGGAAGGCCAGGCCGATGCCGAAGACCGGCTGGTCGAGGAGCCGCCCGGCCCCGGGGCCGAGGGCCTCCTCGGGGACCAGACGCGCCAGGGCCGCCCCCACCGGGTCCGGCCCCGGGGGCCAGTCAGCCCGCGGCATGGCGGCCCGCGTCACCAGCGACACCAGGCCCCCGGGGGACAGGCCGCCGCCATGGCCCGACCCATTGGACAGGAAGATCGCATCAATGCACCGGCCGCTGGTGGCCGGCTGCTGGCAGGGGCACTGCCCGACGCCGAGGCACGCCAGCACCTCGGCCGCCGTGGCCGTCGTGGCGTCTGCCGGCACCACCACCACCGCCGACCCCGCCGGTAGGGCGCCTCGGAGGATGTCCACCAGGTTCTGGGTGTTGGAGTCGTGGCTGTCGATGACCAGCACGCGGGCTGGGCCACCGGCGCAGCGTGCCGGCGAGATGGTAGCCGGGTCGACCATGCTAGTCCAGTCGGTCACTTGCAGGAGGGGGTGGGGTGCGGGGGGGGGGGGGGGGGGGGGGGGGGGGGCGGGGGGGGGGGGGGGGGGGGGGGGGGGGGGGGGGGGGGGGTGGGGGGGGGGGGGGGGGGGGGGGGGGGGGGGGGGGGGGGGGGGGGGGGGGGGGGGGGGGGGGAGAGCGCGCCAAGGAGAGGTGGCTGGCAGAGGAAGGCGACAGGGAGGATCAGCGAGAAGTGAGGCAAAGCAGGGCTCGGGGCCCCGGCGGTCGGGGCTCTGATCAGCCGCCGGCTCCGCTGGGGCGGGGGAGGCCCGCGTGGGGGCGACGCACCGAGACCCGCCGGGCGGCCGGCACAAGGCATGCCCATCCACGCGCACGCATGTGCGCAGACGGGCGGCCAGCCGCCTGGGAGGATCTAGATCTGGTTCTAGATTGTCACCTGTGCCAGCCCCGCCCGGGCGCCGCCGGTCTTCCTCCTGCGCCTCGCCTCCGGGCCCCACGGTGGTGGGCCGTGCGATCGGCGCCCGAGGTCCCAACGCACCCGCACGCCCGGCCCGATTGAAGGGCATCAGACGTGTGGCGGCCCCTGCGGAGCGGGCCCGAGGGGGCAGAGCAACTCCATCTCGCCGCCTCCCGCCCGCCCTCCCGCCCGCCCGCCCGCCCCTCTTTGCCCGCCCACTCGTCCTCCTGCCTGCCACCTCCGGCCCCTCCTCGCGCATTCGCACACACGTACACACACGCGCGCGCGCGCGCCCAGCCCCGACGTCTCGAGCGAAAGATGTCCTCGTCGTCCGATGCCCCCGGGAAGAAGGACGGCCCGTCGGCCAATCCCTCGGCCCCATCGGGCTTCGCGGTGCCCGAGACCAAGTGCGCGCACACTCGTCACCGCCGCAGCCTTCGTGCCTGTTTTGCCCCTGTCCCCTTCTCTTTTGGTCCCCCATGCTGACGCACATTCCCCGGCCACTGGACCCCCCCGGCACGGCAGAGCCCCCGGCGGCCTGAGCCAGGATGACTTCCGCCGAATTCTCATGACCCCCTCGGCGGCCTCCCTGGCCCCGCCACATGCCCGGTGCGCTTGACCCCCTCTGTCCGCCGCTCGCGGTTGTGCGCCGGCGCGCGCGACTAACACCCGCAGCTGTCCCTCCCTCCGGCGGCCGGTCAATCAGACGCACTCCGGCCCCTGGGGCCTCGGTTGCATCCACTCCCCGGCACTGGTCGTCGTCGTCCTCCTCCTCGTCATCGGGTAAAAGGCAGCAGCCGGCTGCCCCTCGGCAGTGCGTTTTCCC